CTGACTCGTCGAGTAACCCTTAAGAAAGGAAATTCAACGTTTAAATTACATACCAGGAATGGGGCGTTACACCAGAAGATTTTACGAATAGAACTGGAAACATAAGATGGAAAGACGTGAAAGTAGGTTGCTATAATACAGTAAAAGCAAAAGTAAGTTATGCATACAACCGATTTGGTTCCATATAGAATGAGTTGTTTGTGTTTTATTTTTATCAAACATTCAATGATTTCTTGAAGAAAAAAAAGTTATTGGGGGTGATGGAATCAATCGATTCTCTTTTTTTTTGGGTTTTTTGGAGTTGATGTAGAAGATGATGTTGTGTTATGACGATGGAGTGTTGTCGGATGTGTTTCTTATACAATTGTTTGGGTGTGGGGACGGGTGGTTTGTGTTTAATGTCATTTATGGGAAGTCTTTTATTTTGCTTTTAAGCATATGCTATGTAGTAATTATGATTGTATACATTTAATGTTGGTTGGCATTATCCATAATTTTTATGGGTTTCGAAAGTGACATGTGGTACATGGGCTCACAATTAGTTTTATATGATCTCATATTAACATATTTTAGAATTTAATTATAACTTATAACAAGTTATATCATTAAAAAGGTCTTATTAAATATCTTCAAATTATACCAATATTGAATTTTGTTTATGATAATGTAAATAAAAACTAAATACTTATTCACAATATATAATTAATAATCAGTTGTAAAGAGAGTTGATGATAAAATTGGCCATGTTGATCCCTACCATATAATGTGAAATCAACCAACGATATCAAATTTAAACATAAGACACTCCTTCATATTATTTGGTTCGATGTTGATTTAAAAAAAATAAAGATATTTAAGGCGCAAATTATAAGTTGTAACCTGTGAATACAACCTTGTATACCAAGGTTTAATTCAGAATTGCACTCTGGTAAGAACAGAACAGAGAAAGAGCAGAGCAGAAACAGAATCAGTGAACAGGGAAGAATGAAACGAGAACAGGGGAAGGAACGGTTTTTGGAAAAATCACTTGTTCACCAAGCCTGATTAGAAACAAAAGCGTAAAAACTAAAAACAATTACTTCTACTTAACCCCCTATATATACTAAAAGAGTTAGACTCCTAAAACAACTCAAAAACGTTTAAAAACTAAATATTCCAAAAATACTCTTGGGACTCTTTTTGTCCCAGAATTTGAATTAAGCCAACACAAATGATGCATATTCCATTTTTTTATTATTTAATTAGGCATGCCCTTATCTTTTTTTATCCTTTAAGACTGATTGGAGCAGAGGGCACCCCATATCGCGGTAGGTGACGTGTCATCGTGATAGTGTGGTGAACACGACATCATCCAATACTTGAAGGCACGGTATGGCCACCACACGAGAAAACTATGTCGCACCCTTTGGTGTTCTAATGGAACATTGGCACATACTCTCAATATGATGTGTCGTTTCAAGCAAATGAGATATCATACAAACTTGGACGTTACCTTACTGATTGGATATATCCCGAGTTAACTACATTTGTGGTGGGATGTCAAGTCCACCAAACAAATTACACCCTTTGTTTGCAAATAAAACGTAATATAATGGTAAAAAGGGGTATCGATCCTCGGGGAAATGGTTGTATTCAATCACCAATGCAATCTAAAAGAACTAGTGTAAATAAACTAATTAACTACAATTAAACTAAAAAAGGGGGGTGTTATGATTGCTTGAAAACTAAAAAAACTTGAATAACTAAAAGCTTGCAATTAAGCAAGATACTGAGATGCTCAAATATTGGAGAGAGTTAGTTAACTAAGGCAATTCAACACAATGAACATTTGTGTGTTTATCATTAGGATTCAACATGAAGCTTATCATTCATCCCAAATTGGTTATAGCAATCATGAAGCATGATATGCCAAGATTCCTCTTAGGTAGTATGGAGGTTGGGGAAGCCCACAACACACCTTCTTAATCAAGATCAAGGGTTTAATTGAAGCAATTGAACCCAAGAAGTTAATTAGCCTTAAGAAAGAATGAATCCCCAATTCCTAGAGGATGTCAATGCTTACACATCCATAAAGGAGCTATGATTCATAAACTAGAGATGATTTTTACCATCATAAAGCCCTTGTTCTAAGTTAATTCAATGATTCAATGCAAAACCAAAGAAATAAACTAACAATAGCTCATTCAAGTGCCAAGCTCATGATCAAAGCATTAAACAAGCATAAGAAATATGATCTAGAACCATAAACATAAGATAATTGATAATCTAGCATGAATCCTTCAAAAACCCACAAACATTCAAAGGTTTTAACCAAAGTTAACCAATATAGAGAGTTTAGCCACTCGTGGCACTAGAATAACAATCACAAAAGTCTAATTGCATAAAGAAACTACCAATAACTTGGAAAGATGAAAAGAAATGAGTTTTGAGCTTCAAAATCGCCTTCTCCAGGTCTCCAATGGTGTAAAATCGAAGTGATGGCTGATAGATCCAATCCCCCAAGGTAATGACAAGCCAAATGACCAAAATGCCCAAAACTGGGCAGTTGCGCGGGTACCCGCGCGATGGAGATTTCACCCGCGCAAGTGCTGCTGGAATGCTATTGGCTCATTTTTCCTCCACTAACCATCCCACTACCAAAGATTCCCTTGGTCCCCTCCATATCCCACATGATTCAAATTAGCTAATAATCTTTTAGCTTCAAATGTGGATGCTCCAAGCCCAAAATAAAAGTCCAAGATCCATCTTCACAAGCCCACTTCATCCAAGCCTTTAGCTTTTTAAGCCCAAATTTTCTTTGGTGGATCCGCCAAGCCCAATAATGCATCGGAAAGCCCACTAAGCCCAACTCCAGTCAAACCGCAACCGCAATGAGCTCCAAAATCCTGCAAAATTCCTCATGCAAAATAAAAAGTCCCCGATACGATCCATGATAAAGAAAATAAAGAATATACAATGCAATACTAATAAAAAGAGCTAAAAATCTAAAATAAACTAATAAAAAATAAGGAAATAAAATAAGCTATCAATTTGTAAAATCATTCTCATGTTCAAATGATGAAAAGCGAATAATGTTCAAGTCGGACCAAGAATCAGTTAGGAAGGATATCGAACGAGCCTTTGGTGCTCTAAAGAGACGTTAGCAGATACTCTCAGTACCGACACGATCATTCGAGCGAAAAAGAAAAAAAAAATAGTCTCATGTACGCATGCATCATATTGCATGATATGATAATAGAAGACGACAGAAATATGATACGCCAATACAGTACAAATGAGAATTTACCAACAGCCGAAGGAGTGTGTATTTGATGTCAGAATACATGGCGAACAGAAGGAAAGTATACGACCGAGTTGGACACTGCAACCTTCGTGTTGATTTGGTGGAACATGTCTTCAATTCTCAAGTAAATCCCGTTGTCAGTGATTTTTATAACAAACATATATATGATTACATAAAATACAATCACCTAGTCCAACAAACTCAAGACCCATAAAGAAAGACTTTGAGGTTGTGGAGAATGAGATGGCATATCTTCTTTATTTCTCAGACATGTTAAGTGACCATCTATGGGTGTTTTTCATAATGCTCTTTTATCTTACCAATAGTAGCCATTTTGGTTTCAAAAAGTTCGATATATGGGTTTTAGAAGCAAATTTGAACACCAAAAGTGGTGGGGGTTCAAATCTTATGTGAGCTGTTATTTTCTTGAAAATTGAGAAAGGTCTAGATGTTTTTTCGTGATAGAATCAAGGAGCCTCATTGATGTGTAAAGTAATGGAACTTGGTGATTGTAAGAAGGAGAAGCATGTGGTTTCCTATCATAATACAGTTTCTTTATCATATTTAGCACCCTTTTGTTCATTTATGTCAAAATTTTAAAAAGTGAAAATCATGTTAGATGATTTTTCTGGTTTGTCACCAAACAACATTCTATAGATTTTTACTTACACGTTCTAATCGTATTCCCAGAAACTTATCAAATAAAAAAGTTTTTGCACTCATGCATTCTTCATATGTATCATTTACACCCGAAAATATCATTGTTGTCGACTTTAGTTTATACAAAAGAAGCCAAAGTTTTTATTGACTTATTCATAACCTAAGGCTAACCAAGATAAAAGTTCCAACCTTATAATTGGTTGGTGGATAGGGGACCATACATCATCATGCATGTATTAACTCTTTTCGTCCTGTAAATTGAAGTTGGATTCTGATTTGGGCCCATATTTATCATTGTACAATATATCATAAATGTTTTGTTATCTAACGAAACCATAGCTGTCTATGTTGTTGGATCCTCTATGCATAAAGACACCACCTGGGCCCACTAATGTATCATATCATCATCATGTGAACACATCATTGTTATGTTCTTTTTAGTTATTTAATATAGCATCATACTTTCATTTTTACTATTACAATAGAATAGAATGAAACTAAAGTAGGATGCTATAATACACAAATAAGTAAAAGTACATTATTATTTCTTGCATTTATTCCTTGTTTTCTAGCAACTTTTAAACAACAGGTGACCCAACACGTGTATAAACACAAAGCATTTTTGTCTCCAAGATACGAATATACTTCGGTTAAGTTTACACTAAACCAAAAGGCTCCATTTGTTTTCTTTGAAAAAAACATAATAAAAAATAAACTATCATGTAGAAACAAACAAAGAATCAGATGCCAAACCCTGAAAAATACAAAAACTAAAAACCACCATATTGTTTAAAAGCTGTATAATACGCATTGTTAACCAAAAGTTCAACTGTTAATGACTAATGAATTATCAAATAATAGGATAATAATCGAGCTTAATACAGAAAATAACCATGATTCATAAATATGTATCACTCACATATCAAAAGATTCAAGTCTTTTCTTAGTTTCTTGAACTCAAAAGCCCAAGAATATGAAGGGACAAAACAAAACACAAACATAAAAACGAGATAAATTATAAATAAGTACCTAAATAACTCTCTCTACTCCTTTGATATCAATTATCAGACTCATTTTTCCTGGTTGATTTTTCGGTTTCTCTGTCCTCCAATAACTTCCCAGATTCATCATCAGGCTGTGATGCCTTCTTCTCTGATTCCTTAGCTTTAAGAGCCTGCAACTTTGCGTGATTGTAATAAGCAACACCCATGAAAGCAATCACGTAACCAAAAAGATTGATGGGTGTCACAGTATCCTTAATCACAGACCATGAAAATGCAATCAACAACCAATCTTTAACAACCCCAGCAACATTCATGGTTAAAGCTGAAGTCTTGCCGACAAGTAAGAACACAGCAAGATTCAATGCAAAAGCACAGACGGAGTTTGTCCCGAAGATTAAGTAATCAAAATGGAAACTTGATGTGTCTCTTAGTTTAGGGAACTCGACAATCATCCATGGAATTGATAAGAAAGCTAAACAACAAGGGGCGACGTAGTAGAGGGAAGTGATTGGATTGAATGTGATTCCTTTTGAGGTTAATAGGATTTGGATCAGAACTAATCGAGTAGCTTCGAAACAAACAGCGCCTAGTTGTAACGTAACACCCCATGTATTGAATTGCGCTTCACCATAAGCAGCAATCGCAACACCGAATGAGATCGAAAGCATGTTGCTCATGGTTTGGCCTTTGAAACTTTCTTTTTTGAGTAAAACGCCGATTGAATAAACGGCGACAGGCATTAGGGCTTTAAGCATTTGAATAAAGGACACAGAGAGATAAATGTAAGCGGAATTGGAGAGCCATAAGCTAAGAGAGTAAAGCAAACCGATTGGGACGACGGATTTCAGATAAACATCGCGACTCATTTGAACTGGTTCGACGACTTTGAGGACATTGACGAGAACGTAAGCTAATGAAGAACAAAACCCCATGTGAATCATGGTTAGTGAGATCGGGTAAGGCCAATTGTACATCTTTCGATCCAAGATGTATTTGTTGTAGACGATTACAGTGAAGCTTAAGAAGATCCAAATCGCGACGTATGTGTAGGAGAGTATGATTTTCCTCAATACACCTTCGCTCAAGGCTCCTCCTTTCCCCATTCTTCGATTAGATCTGGGTATGAAATCGGTTGGATTTGATGGATTTAAGGGCGAAACGAGAAATCCCCTGTTGGAATTGGGGAATTAGTGGGAATTATATATGGAGTTTGAAGAAACTTGACTGAATGATTGGGGATTTTGAATTTGGGTAGTGTGTGTTTGAGTGTGAAAGTGTGTGAAGACGGAGGACTGAGGAGGAATGAGACTTCAATACGGGTTGTTATATATGAAAGGAAGTTATTTTCATGCCTATCGATGGAAAAATAAATTAAAATCAATTTCTAAAACAAGTTTTATAAGGATATTGATTAAACCAATAATCTTTTTAATTAAAATTAAAGAATTTAAAAAAAAATGGTAGGCTATTAGTTAGAAATTAATATCACTAAATTAGAAAAATCGTCCGGATTACTATCTGAGATTTTCAATCTAAGAAGCAAAAATACAAAACTTCTACCAAATTGGCTAGTCCTATATTGGTCCGATTTTGATCGCATACCTGATCTGCAATCGTGGTCCTCATATATCTAACGTATTTTCGGAATGAAACAATAAGTATTCGGAGTAGCATTTCAAACTCTTGATTTATTTTAAGAATATGGATTCTGATAATAAATGAAAGACAATATTATTGATAAGTTCTTTTTAATAAGTTTTGTTGCAACATATCATCGATTTAAACAAGTTCAGAATATGAAGATCTTTATCGGAACGTGTACAACAAGTCCATAATGTAGTAAACTTTTTGATGAAAATACTTTCTTGAAGTGTTTTTTATTAATATTTGGGTATTTTCTAGTTATATTCATAATATGAACATTTAGAACTAGTATAGAACGCGAATAAAATGTATGAAACACGTATAAATGTCTGCACACGCCAATCACGTCCTAAACATGAAATTCGTGTCCGAAACAGGATGCTAATTTTTTTAGCATGATCGTGTATACGACACAGTACTCAATACAACTTACAAGCCATACTTGGGTTAGGACATTATCATTGAGCTACATCTTATCTTGGCACCGAGAAGTATTTTTCACTTTTCATGATGTTTTATTTTGATAGATGAACTGATACACCAGCAATCGTGGAACATTCTCTAAAAATCTTATTACATATACTCATTTTCAATAAAAATTGCTTGAAAATATATTTCTTCTAGTACAATTTGCTTTTAAAGTTTTATTATTTAGAACAATGATAAAGTATTGTTAAATTTTCATAAGAAAAAAAAAATAGGTTCTCTTAATAAACTTTAAATCCTAAATACATAATAATTTTAGTTTTGGTCATCACGTTTAATTTTATATTTGTTATTTTTATAAGAAAAAAATCATATTGAAAAAACTAAAAACATATTAATACAAAAGGTATATTGAGTTATAATCACATAAATCTATTCTTAAAAGAATGTTCAATTATAATCATGTAAAGGTAACAAAACAAAAATCAAATAAACGTAAAGGTAACAAAACAAAAATCAAATAAACGTGATCGGTAGACTCCTTGTACACGAGCAGTACCTAGAAAACTAAAAGGCTGTGTTGTGCTCAATACACAATGAAAAAATAGATGATTATAAACTTAAATTAAATATAAAACGTGTGTGGTAAAATTAAGAAGTAATTGAAAACTAATATATATATATATATATATATATATATATATATATATATATATATATATATATATATATATATATAGTTCAAATGAAAACAAAAAATAGTGTGACAACGTAAAAACATTATTTTTATGTTATTATTATTCTGCAATGAATTTTGTATCTACAGTTTTATGTCATTATTCAACATTGAATAAATGAATAGTTACAGGTTAAATCTAAAATTAGAATTTACTACAAAAATGCACATATATAAATTTATAATAGAATAATAACATTCTAATTAATATATGAATAATCAAAAGTTAATAATGATATTAGAATTACTTCAACAATACACATATACAACATTTATTACAGAATAATAACATAAACATAGTGTTTTTACGTTCTCACACTATTTACTGTTTTTATTATATATATATATATATATATATATATATATATATATATATATATATATATATATATATATATATATATATATATATATATATGTATAGTTTTTATTTGTTATATGAATGTTTAGCAAAAATAATTAGAAGCTTTTGAAATATATAAAAAGATAATTTTTTAAAGAAGATAAATATACAAATAAATTTTTAAGGGCATATCTAAAAAAAATAAAAATCTAATAGTTTTTTCTTAAATCTATATGAAATAGTTTTTAAATTTAGAGTTTTTTTATTTAAATAAAAGCAAAAAGTTCATACTCTCAAACAAGACTATTTGTTTAAATGAGTTTTTTTATTAAAAGCTAAAAAGTTAGAACTCTACCGTGAAAGTCACTCATATAATGAATATAAAAACACACCTTACAATAACATAACATCAATCATTTCAATAGGAAAGAAACACTTCTTGTTTTAAACGAAATGAAGAATGTGAAATCATAGTTTAGAGTAATCACTGCACACCCTTATTTTGTGATTACGATCATTCAATACATGCTTACGATGATGACATAATAGTCACAGTATACCAAAGGGCTTCTAGCCCAGCGGTATCAGGTGGTGCCCTCCCTCCTTTAGGTTGAGGATTCAAGTCTTGTTGGAGACATAGGTAGATTTAGGAGTAATATAGTAGGAGTAGATTATATTTGTCGTTCAAAAAAAAATCTAAAACTAAAGCAATTAGGTTACTTTCGTTAACGTGGGGATTTCCTATTGGGCAGGTCCATTAGAAAAAAAAAATCAAATCCAAATTTTATGTTTTACAAGTTTGTATTAAGAAATTGGTAAATTTTGACAAACTAAAGTGTATAATCAATAATGTATTAAAATTAATTGTAGATGTTTGTATTTTTTTAGTTGTTAGCTTTAAGTGATATTACTAAAGAACAATTTCAAATCCCTTGTTATTTTTGAATTTTAATTTTACTTTGGCCATAATTTTATGATCTAAATAAACTAATCAAACCAAATCAAATTAGAAAAATCCGACACATTTTTACATGCTTAAAATGAAATTACCTTGTTATGGAGACTCACCATAGGGGTATGGTGAGCATATTCTTGTAGTGTTGCCCATACCATATCTTAGATTACACCTTTGTCCTTTTACTTTAAGCACATGGAAGGTTTTCTTGAGTCTATTAATAGGCACATATTGATCCCGTGTCTCTAACGATTTGTTAGGCATAAGGTACACAAATGCTTCACCATTTACATAATGCACTAGTTTGATTCAAATAAAAATATACACAAAAATGGCATATTTTGGGAATTGTTGTGAAATTATAATTCTATTACACGTATGTAATGTTTGGAATTAATATCTTTACTTCATCACTCAAGCCCATTTACAAACTTGGATAATATGCAACAAAACTAGATACAAAAGTTTGATGCATATTGAGTTCTAGCAAACATATATTAATTATCTGATAAAACAATAAGTAAAAATGTTAACAAAGAATTGTATTTATTTATTTTTTTCTTAAAGAAGGAAGTACTCTTGTAGTGATGTCTAAAGTTCAATCTTTCATCGATTCAACTTTTCAATTAAATTATTATTGTTAATTTAACTGAATATTTTTATTTAAATTTTAATATTTGATATGTAAGTGTTGTACTATTATAAATAATTTCTTAAAGTATGTATATTATTGTAATCGTCAACTAGCTTTTGAGAATTGTTAGTTTTTAAATTTTCTAAAAAAATCAAGTTACAGAAAAGTGTTTAGTTAGGGAGTCCAATTTTAAGGGTTTTATTTTAAACAAAAATCGCATAATACAAAAGCTACTTCAATAAGTTTTTAAAAACTTTGTAGGAGTGTTTATCTTTTATCTTTTATTTTTATGTTTTATATTATTTTACATCTTTCAAAAACTTTCAAAAAATTATAGTTTCTTTTGACAAATACTTTTATACAAATAAAATTATAATATTTTATAACTTCGAGATATCAACTTTCAGTTACTAACTAGCTTGTCAAACATATCTTATATGTATAGCACATCTTGTATAAAGGGAAATTACCGGGTATAGACATTATTTGGGGTTGAATTCTAAAACATAGACACAAAAAATTGAATTTTCGGGTATAGACATGGATTCCCTGGAGGTAGCTCCGCGGAGCTCCGCGGAATCAACTGTAGCTCCACGGAATGGCAAAATTGTAAATAAATGAGGAAATTAAAAAAAATAATAATAATAATATTAAAAAAAAAACTCAAGATCCATTCCGTGGAGCTACAGTGGATTCCGCGGAGCTCCGCGGAGGTAGCTCTGAGAAATGGATATTCAGAAAGAAAAAAAAATTCACCTCCAATGATTCTTTTATGTAAAGATCTCCAATTAAAAGACCAATTTCTTTACACATCACATTCATTCCAAACATTGTCAAGAAAAATTCATACTATCATAATCTTTTCTTGAAAATAATTAGTTGGGGAATGAATATAAACCCCGAAGAATCGATTTGAAAAAAAAATCTGAAGATCCATTCCTCAGAGCTACCTCCGCGGAATGAGTTCATTCCTCGGAGGTAGCTCCGCGGAATGGATCTTGAGTTTTTTTTTAATTCCCCCATTTATTTACGATTTTGTCATTCCGCGGAGCTACAGTGGATTCCGCTGAGCTACCTACGCGGAGTCCATGTCTATACCCGGAAATTCAATTTTTTGTGTCCATATTTTGAAATTCAACCCCAAATAATGTCTATACCCGGTATTTTCCCTTGTATAAAACCTATGTCCAACTCTATGTATAACATGTTGTTACCACGTAATTGTCTATATATTCGTATTAACGAGATTAATTCATGAGAAACTATTTATTTTCACAAGATATCAAGACCAAAACATCCGAATTTCTCAATATCTTTCCTCTTCTTTCTCTCTTGGCTTCTGTAACAACTCGAAATTTCTATCTT